ATACAAAGGTTCTGACTGTGAAGGTCTGTTACCACCTTTGGCTTTGCATGTGACAGCATGAAATCCTGAGACTGAATTCTGCATCTCTACCAGTAAGTAAAGTAGTAATGGAGAAAAAGGACTACATTACAATCTTTGCTTTTGAGGTCTGTGCAAAGCTTACCTCCTTACATCCTATAAGTAATTTCCTTAGGACGGTTTATCCATTACTAGATAATAGTAGGTTACTAAATACATGTGCACAACAGGCCTTTTTTATCAGTTCATCATTGCTGTTCTGTTGCAAGCATTGTATATACACGTTGTACACTATAAATGGTGTGCTTTCATCTGGTTATAAATATTTTCCATTTGGAGTTATCTGCTTCTGCTGCAGAGATGAGAGGTGATCACTTGAGCATGAAAGATAAGGGGACAGAGAAAAGGGAGAAAATATGAAGCATAGTAAGTGTTACTGAGCTGCATGTAAGATAAATGACATAATACAAGGCACTATCTTATTAGATAAATTTCTATAATTATTATCTGTTATATATCTATTATTTCTTAAGTAATTTTTCCTTTGTGACTAGTTGCTGCAATGAATTCAAATTATAACGTGAATAACTCTGCAGATTATATGCCTGAAGAGCGACTGAGAAGGAAAAGGAAGAGAGGTTTTTGCAGCTGAATATGTAACAGTCTTTCATGATTTGCAAGATAGAAGGGTTACTATTTAGGTGTTTTTTTTTTTTTTTTTTTTTTTTTTTTTTTTTTTTTTTTTTTAAAGAAAGGCAGTGAAATCACCAGTGGATAAAGAGTGCGTCTGCTGGGCCACAAATTACTAAATAAAAAAAGATGAAAAATGATTTAAAATCAATCAATTTGTGGAAATTCTATGTTTTTTTACCAACTTCATTGCTTTTCATTTGGAAGCAAAGTATACCTAATTAGATGCCTCTCTCACAGTGTCAGCTCTCTCATTGTGCAGACTTGGTTCAGTAGAAGTGGAGCAGGAGACTTGGTGTTTTGCTGGTTGCCTGTTTTGATGTGGTATAAGATGGAGAACCTGTTCTGACCTTCTGCAGGGTGCATTCAGGGAGAAACTGCTGGAACCCTCCCAGGGCAAGGAGAGCAGTGCTGTGGCGTCTCTGAGATGGGCAGTTAAGTCCTTTGTGTTTTGGCAGCTGCTCTTCGCTGATTTGCCTCCAGAAGTGGCATTATTGGTGCAGGAAATACTGGATGAGGTTCTCTCTCTGAGCTTCAAGGGCAAATGTGTTCTTCATGTGAAGCACACTGAAGACATCAAGTTGGAGCATGAGGATAAGGGGTGGTATAACTGTGCCCCTTTTATGTAATGTACCAATCCACAGTTTCTGGCACAGAGAGGAGCACTGATATGTTAAACACCATTCCATATTGGAGAATAATTTCTATCCCATCACTGTAATGGACTTTTTATGGCAAGAGCTAATGTTGAGAGACCTGATCATTCCTGGGCCTTAGAAATGTAAGTACATTTTACAGTAAAGCACAAGGTTTATAGTGACACAGAGTTACATGAAGTCTTCTTGCATTTTAGCTGTGTTGGCAAACTTAGAGCGAAGTAGAAGAGTTTCAGAAAGTCAGTAGAGTGCATCTGTCTGAGCCAAACAGCAGTGTCACACTTCACAAATGTAATTGTTCTGAGAGATGTGAGGACTCGCTTAAGCACACAAAGTGGCAGCACATTAAAGCATGAAAGTTATTGGAAATGAAGCTAAATTGATTGTTCTTTAAGCTTCTTCTCTGCAAAGCGAGGCAGTAATTTATTATTTATGACAGCACTGCTTGTAGCAATAATTTTAAAATGACACTTAAAGTCTAAGGGACAGATCCACAGCTCTGGTAAGATACTGGAGTGGCATGAGGCTGAAACACTTTTACATCATTTGGCCATCTGTCCAGGTCTCTTCCCAGCATAGGTTAGGCATGGGCATACAAACCACAGGCAGTTTGTATGTGACTAGATGAAGAGCTTGAAGCTTTTGCCTATAGTTTTCTATTGAGAAGCGCCCTGGGCAGGTGTAAGGAATCTTCCCCATGCTGGGGAAGCTGCGACAGTCCCGCTGTGTGCAAGGGAGAGGGCAGGACTGTGGTCCCGGTGGCCCTTCAGAGTCAGCGTTGGTCATTCACACCAGCCAAGCTGCAGTTGTCGCAGACTGTTTCCTGAAAGGAAGGTGGCCTCATGGAGGGATTTTTATGAACTGATACTTTCACACACAGTCTAGCTGTGTGGTGACTGGAGTCTTCTGACTCGCACTGCTCTGTGTCTCCTTCCTGCTCTGCCTCTCAGCATCCTTCCTAACAAAGCAAAGTTGCATGAATTAGTTCTCTAGCACTGTTGTAATACTGAAACGGGGAACTTGTCAAAGGAAATCTTCTTGGATTTGTTAAAAATAAACAAACTCCTAGAAGTATTCAAACTTATGTTAACAATAAACATAGATATGTCACATAATTATGTCTTGTACAATTATGAAGAGAGTTCTCATGTACCCTCCATGTACCCTATAGAGACAGGTGGTAGCATTCATGATAACCAAGGCCAGATCTGCATCATTTCCCATTCCATATATGGTTGTTCTCTCTCTCCAACTGCAGATACTTACTCAGCTCAGTCAAATTGAGGCCTTATTTTAGAGATTGCATGCTGAAAGGCAAGCACATCTATCTTTATAAGCATGTTTGTTTCCATAATTAGAAACTGAATCAACAGTGTTTTGAAGATGACACATTTGTTCATTCCCTTTCTTCTCCCTATGGTGGCATAAAGCAGTGAAGCACAATAATTAATGAAAAAGACTGTTTATTATTCATGTGATGTATCTGAAGTGGAAAAAAAGAGCATGGGTTAAAAATATTTCTGCTGACGACCATCAGCAGCATTACAAACTATGATCTGTTCTAGGGGGAGAGTTTCAGCTTTCAGTCCATTTGGGCAGGGTGTTCTAAAAATGTCAAAGACGATTGAACTCAGGTTTCTTGCATAAAGCTCAGGGAAATGTGGACTGCATGAAAAATACGGCTTAAGTCTCCTGCTTGGGCATCTTTGATGTTCAACAGGAAATGCTGACTTTTCAAGCTCCATTGACATGTTTGCTGTGTGCTGTGGCTGGGTCAAGGTGCTATATCTTTTTGGCCATGCTTTCTTTTCCTTTGCAAGAGTCTGCTCAGCAAGTTGCACAACGTAGAGGGATTGTGTAATTCTATGTCCAACCCTCGCTTTTTAACATAGTGATGACCAGAACATGCTACACTGAAAAGTACTGCTTTACCTGCTGTGACCACTGGTGGGCCAGTATAGAAGACTTAGGTGAAATACTCCGGCCTCCCCTATCTCTTGGGACTTACAGTGAAGGCCAGAGAAAGACTCCCATATACCAGCCCTGCCTTTCTCAGGCTAGTCACGTAATTCGCACAAAGCTGCAGTGTAATCAGAAAAATAAAAATGTCTGTGGCCTAATAAATACCATAGCTATAATGTGCAGCTCAAGATATGCTGGTGGCAGCAAGATGGCTTAAATCCAAGAGTTGGATCCTATTCCATTTCCACTTCTTATAGTAAACCTATGAAAAGCTTTAGTATTTACTGAGGCTTGTATGGTTAATCCACTTGAGGAAGTATACTTGACAGGCACAGGAGTAGTCTAGTTGCTAAAAATGAAGGTATTAGAGAAGCAGTGACTGTCGAAGGTGCTGATGTTCAAGTCCTTGATTAGAACCTGCCTTTCTTGTGTGTGTTTGGTTGTGTCACGCAGTGGTGTTGGTGCCTTGTTGTAGCAAATAGCACTTCCTGGTTTTGCAAAACTATTGGCAACAATTTATCCTGAGGATAAGCTTTGATCTTCATGTCTTGATATTCACACTCTACAATACTACATTTTGGGAATAGAAAACTCCTTAGTATTATTTTTAGATTGGCACAATCTCACGAAAGTGCCTGCTTTTGAATTTAAACTGCTGTTAGATAGTGGTTGGTTTGCTAGTTTTGTGCTTGCTGTGAATCTCTGTGTGCTGGGGGATGAGCAATAGGAACATGTGCTCTGCACAGGCACAGTAGAAAAGCTGAATATGATTTTTTTGGCTTTATAAAGGAAAAGAGTGATCAATATATAGCAAATGTAATAAAAATAGAAAGTCTTCTATACTGTGTGTTAATGTCTCAGATTACTTATTCAAGAAGATGCAGGTGCAGATAGATAACATTTTTAAAGATGCAAGCAATACAATCTAAAACATTCTAGGAATATATGGAGTTCATTCCTAAAAATTGGTGCAGTTTAAGTACTGTGGCAGACATATATTGTAGATTATTTCACTTTAATTTCTGTTCTTCGTGAAAAATTGTGTTAGCAGTTCTAGGTCTTACTCTCTTGCTTCCATATCCAGAGTTTATTCATGGTAGGTATGTGGCATGCACAGCCAGAGATGAAATAATTGTTGATTCTCCTTTAGTGAGAGGAGAGAAAAAGTCATGGAACTTCTTAGTAGCTATAGAAAGGAACTATGAAAGTTTGGGAAAAAAACATGGGAAAAGCATAAATAATTATTTGTCATTTTTCACTCTTTCAAATATTGGTAAAGAAAGTCCATGGGTAAGACTTTGGAACATCTGTCTTGAAAAACAAGATTGTTACCTTTTTTGTTACTATGCTAACGTAATACTCATTTATATAAGTGATTGGTTAATATAGCCCTTGATATGCTACTTTATGAGCAAGTGTTTTACCTCTTGGCATGTTACTGTCGAAGTGATGCAATCCTGGTGGAAATCATGCAGACTAAGTAGTTACATGGGGATTTTTTTTATTGTTGTATAAATTGTGGTCCTTCCTTAATCTTTTATTTCTTTCGGACATGACTGTTTGAAAGATCTTACTCGTTAGGGTGACACAGAGTATTTCCCTGAGTAAGTACTCCAGTTTTACCTCTAGATGAGCTAATACTTCTTGCTAACATGTAATTCTTACCTTTCATAGAAGAGCTCAAGGAGAAACTAAAGAAGTATATAGATGAAGTGAATGCCCAGAAACCAGGGTTCATCAAGGTTGTTCGACACAGCAAACAAGAGGGACTGATCCGATCCCGCGTTAGTGGATGGAGAGTTGCCACAGCACCAGTAGTCGCTCTCTTTGATGCCCATGTGGAATTCAACGTGGGATGGTATGTGTCAACTTGTATTCCTCTGATCAACAGACCTTTTCCAAACACCGTTCATGAATTACTAAATGGGATGAAAAATATTGTGATCTCTTTGATGAAAATTCAAAGATGGAGACAGTTATGAAAAAACTATTTGTTCTGTGTTCATTTTTCTTGTGCAAGTTACTGTAATGGCAATGTATTTAAACTATATTAGAAAACAGCAAGTGACCTGCTGCTGCTTCTTGAAGTATTTCTAAAATAGCTACATCTCTTGCTTATTATTATTTCTCTTCCAGTTAAAGTAAATGGTAAATGATAATTTTGGCATGAAAAAGCTCGGTAGGATAGTCTAGTTACAGGTAACTGTTTGTAATTAGGGGGAAGCTCACTTGTTTTTATAAGGATTCAGGATTTGTTTCCTTGAGCTTCTTGAATTCTCTCCAAATCTCAGGGCAACACTGGAAGTTGTTCTCCAGAAATATAGAACACTCTTCATACTTGTATAAGTGCTTTTGTTTCCCAACAGCTTATACTCGTAATACAGACTGTAAAAGCACTGAGAAAAGTTCTGTATTCTCTGTCTCCTCAGAAATCATACACCGCTCCCCAAGTTGCCCCTCAAAGAACCACATGATTAAAAATATGTATTTTAGCTGGTTGAAATTGAATTTGATATCTCTGTTGCTTCTTCAGTTAAAGGGAAAAAAAAAGATAGTGGAGAAGACAAATGCTTTTGTCCCTAGGATAGATCTATTATTAGGCTTGATCTTGATGTCCTTGATGATGTTATGATATTGAGAGCCTGAAGTTTTCATTATTTGGTAACAAATTTATAAATTTATATGCAGATGGTCATTTCTTCTATTCTCCAGCACATATGAAGGATATCAATAGGACATAGTGGATTAAATATTGCAGTGCATCCTTTTAGGGCAGGTTCCACTCTGTCAAAACTCCATTGTAAAGCAAAGGGGGCTCTGAATGAGTGGTAGCTGCAGACTTTGCTCTTTCCCAGATACATTGCATAGAGGCTCTTTCCACCAGTGCCATGCTGCTGCTGACATCAACATTTTTTGCTGTTGTGTTGTTGTTGGTTTTTTTTTTAAGGGCTGAACCAGTTCTTACTAGGATAAAGGAAAACAGAAAAAGAGTAATTTCTCCATCATTTGATAACATTAAGTACGATAATTTTGAAATAGAGGAATATCCCCTCTCTGCACAAGGGTTTGACTGGGAGTTGTGGTGCCGATATCTGAACCCTCCTAAATCGTGGTGGAAGCTGGAGAACACAACTGCTCCAATAAGGTAACATGAAACTGTTATCCAGATTCAGAGATGGGAGGAGATGCTCTTGTAGATGATGAGTGGTCTCATTATGTAATAGTTTGTATCGACTATAGTGTTGAATTAGACTGTGTTAAATATAGTGTTAAATATCCTTGAACTGTCCTTTTCAACTTTTCTCCTTAGCCTCTGTTTAGCCATCAAAAATACCCCTTTTCAGTAGGTCTTCTAATACAGTTAGTTACTATTAGCATGGTGCAAGGCACATGCCAAAGTGAAACAGCAGACATGAATGCTCAAAAATACTGCTTTCTCCAAATATTTTGTCTCCTAGTTTAGGGTAATGGCCCACAAAGAGAAGTTTGTTTACAAATGTCTTATATAAGGGGGTGTCCCCTTAACTATCAGATCAGCTATGTTTATAGTAGTGTCACCTAGTTTTACAGCTGTGCTTTGTCATAGGAGGTAATGCTTGGCCGGCAATCATGTGTGAGCAGCGACTGCATTAAATCCTAGCAATCTGGTACCATCTAACTCAGTATTTTTTTGTTATGTCTAAAGAGTTTTTAAACTGGTGCAGAACAGTAGCCTCTGGAAAGGGGAAAGGTGCATCTGAATCCCCTCAGCAGCTCTGTTGAGGTGCCAGTCCTCCCTTCTGCCTCTCAATTCATCCAAAGGAGTCACTGGTACCTCTCCTGTCGCTCCCTGCAGAAAGTGTGAAGGCTGCTCTCACCAGCAGCAGCTCTGCAAAGCGTGACATTGCAGTGCGGTGGTGGCACAAGGGAATCATCAGTAGCAATGCTACTTGTTTCCATGCAGTAGGTGCAAGGGGTGTCTTTGATCCACTAGTCCTATCTTTTCAGACTGACTGCTGTTTTCTGGAGTTGTCAGCTGAGACTTTTGTCTCTGGACTGCACTGACCCATGTGCTGGCCTTCGGAACAGAACTCACAGTTGGAAAATGTGAGCTGAAAGCTCAAAGCTTGGCCCCAGACATGTGTAAAAAAGTAGTAGTAATTTCCACAGCATTGGAAGTATCAGAGCTAATGAGTACCTATTACCATATGAAAATGCTTTGAAATAGGCTGCCAAGACCTTGAGAAGCAAATTTCTCTATAAATTATTGTTCTAGTGATTTTTAAAAATAAACGTATTTAAACTCTGAATGAAGAGAAAATGTACTTTTTCATTTACCACAAAACCTGCTAAATGAGGATCATGGCACAAATGTCCTCTAATAATACTGGATATGTATATTTGTACCTTGGCCTTTTCCTCGGAGTTTTCTAATCATTGACCTTAGAATCAAGAGCTTTAGAAACAAAGCTGGATAAACCTGTTTCAAAAACATCTCCCTAAGAATCTATCTTGGCACACCATTTGGCCCAGCAGTGAAAAACATAAGCTATTTCTGAATATTGAAATGGTTTCTTTCTGTCTGCTCATTTTGTCTGTTGCTGTTTTATTTTTCCAGAAGTCCTGCCTTGATTGGATGCTTCATAGTAGACAGAGAATATTTCCAAGAGATTGGCCTACTAGATGAGGGTATGGAAGTATATGGAGGAGAAAACGTTGAGCTCGGAATCAGGGTAAGAAGCATAACCAACCAACACTGTCAGGCTGCACTTCACACACATCGTGGTCCTTGTTATTGGGGGGGAGAAGAGTCAAAAATGTATGAAGGATGACAGGCAAATGAGATGCATTGCTTTAGGTAGTAGCATAGACTACTACTGTATTTGATCAGAAAAGAAAGAGCAAAAGCTCCCATATCTTTTTAAATAACTTATCTGAGATAAGCTTAGAAATACAGAATTTGGTGTTATTCTTTTTCTTCAACTAACAATATGTGAATTCTGCAGAGACTCCCTACCTACCTATGATTCCAGGCTCAGTAAGGAGGGTAATTTTTATTGATGTAATGGGAAGAGCCTTCCTAGATTCATTTATTTATTTAAATTAAAAAAATTACTATGAAGCTAACTGAAATATAAAGGCATTTATGCTGCTTTCTCTCTGCCTCTTCTGGGTGTTTAAGATATTCGTAGGGTACTGAAGTGGCATAAATTCTTTCTGCATCCTACACTACTCATCTGTTTACCGTGTACAATATCTGTGTGGTTTGCATATCTCTGTCTCCCTTCACAACTAGATACTATCCAGAAAACATAGCACTGTTCCCTTTGAGAATCTTCCAAGGTTTTTGATACAATTCCTAGATACTTGGGGGGGTAAAGAAAAATTGTATGATTTGTGTTACAAAATTAAATCCCCAAATCCGCTTTTGAAATGTTCATGAAAGGTTGTGTTTCATGCTTTTTGGTTGAGAGAATAAAAGCATAGAGTTATGTAATGGCCAAAAGAAAAAAAATATATATATGAATTGCCTGCTGAGACCATGAGATGTAATCTAAAAATACTCATTTTGTTCTTCTCTCTAAAATTCTTTTCCTCCCACCTGTCAGGGGGGGGGGAAAAAAAAAAAAAAAAAAAAAAAAAAAAAAAAAAGGTGTTACTGCAGCATGAGTGAAAGGAAGGTCTCCTTTCATTTACATTAAAGCATAGTTGGAAAGAAAGGGAGAAATGCAGGACTACTGCTTTCAGTAACACCATTCTCTTCATGGTGAGGGCCAAGGAGCCTTATTTTCTTCTTGAAAACTGATTTTTGCAGCTCAGTGTTGCTGTGAGATGAAAATTAGTGTCACTTGGATTTTCCTTTTCTTTTTTTTCTACCTAGCAAAACTATTGTTTCTGTTTGAGGGGAGGGTTTTACCTGGTTCTGTGACATGACAATAGATACTATGCAGTCCACTATACTTAGCTTAGCAGAAGTTGATTGTGAAGAGTACTTTGAGAGACAGGACTAGGGAGACACAAATCTCTGCATAATTGAAACTTGGGAGTACACTGGATCACTGGAATAAGGCCCAGCACTGCTCTCCTTTTCTCACGGCTTTCTTCGGTCTCCAGGGAAGCAGTGTCTGACCTACATAAGACACTTTTATGTGTAACAGCTTGCAGCGTGCAGGGTAGCATAGTGCCTGCTGCCTCATCTGTCTCTGTCCCGGCTTGGATCTGTGTTCTTGGCTATCTCAAAACAAATTCCTGACACGTAATGAACAGATTTTTCAGCAGTTTATTACCAATTCTTCTCACAATTCTCAGCATAGTCCAGATAATACTAGGATGAATATAAATGTGCCGTGCTACCTTAGAGCTTCTGGGAAGCACAGTATTATTTCTGCAGATGTTAAACTTCACAAGCAGGTCCCTTCCCTCACCCTCCCACTCGTGCCTTGGAGGTGCTGGCTGCCAGAGTGGGCTGCCCAGTGCTGTGGGCAGCCACGTGCTTGGTTGTGCCCTGAGCAGTCACTAGTGGCACTGCTCACAAGCGCTGCCTTGGATTTTCTTTATATTGGGGCATGCTAAAAAATCATAGCCAGAAAGTGATTACAGGCCAGATGGTCTGTCTCTGCTGGTAAACTACATTTTCTAGTCTCTGCAGCACTGAGGAGTCATCACTAGACTCCCTATGTTGCTTTCGACTGCAGGGCCTGCAATGAATCACTTAATAAAGGCAGTAATTGTTCTACAAAAGCTGCATCCATTTGCATTTTATAATTACAGTATCAGTGCAATAAATAATGTTTCCATTTTAAAATGATCTCTAGTGCATGACTACAGATTGCTCTCCATGCTTCATCTTTCATCACCATTTTCCATTTTAAGAAGCATCTAGCTTGATCTGGTGTTCTGTTGTATAATATGCATTATCATGCGGTGCTGGAGAGGCAGGTGTGTGTCACATTCTGTAATACAATGAGGTTGTTAGCTAGGCCTTCCCCCTCCCCCCCCCATAGCTTTGGATTTATCATTAAATTTCCTCTTTATGGTATTTAGGCACTCAAAGTCAATTGTTAACTCCTTTACCTAGAGACCTAGAGATTTTATGCATTAACCAGTAGGAACCAACACTTGAAGGAACAAGAGTGGTTACATTCAGCTACAGAATATAAGCGCAAGAGTGAGCATCATTTGTGCTACCTATTTATGTTAAACAAATAGAATAAGGTCCTGTCACCTCCTATTACTATTTTGTTGTAGGAAGTATAGAACTACTATAGGCCAGGCTCATCGGCCTAACAGTGTCAGCCTCCTGTGATGTGAGGACTGGCTAAATGAGTATCTCGGCATGCACCCGTGCACAGTATCGAAGCCCTCATCCCTGACTGCTTTGTTGGCAGCTGCAGCTTCAATGATAAAGATTTAGTCTCCCAGCTGAGATGCTTCTGAGAAGCAAAGTCTGCCTACCTAAGGTTCTTTTCACTGTAAAGGGGAAGCCACTTGCTGTGTCTTGTAACATCTTGAAATGGTTTGTTTTCAGCTGAACTGATGGCATTTTCATTGTGTAGGGCTGAGAATTAGATCCAAGATGTGTTGGAAATGTGTCCCAGAATTGTAACATTAGAAGTTACTTTTCTCATCTCCATAATCAACAGAAATGCAGTTGTGTTGCATAAGAAGAACCTCAACTATTGGAAATTTTATCTGAAGCATTTGGTGTAGATAAACTATATAGAGACTGGAGGTTTAATTCGTCCTCTCTGATGAATTGGCTTCTCAGACCCGTTCATGTCTAAATTGAAGCATTATTTTAACTTCCAAGGTTTTACCTTTGTTTATGGCTTTGAAATAATATTTGTAAAATAATAAACATTACCAATGGATATTAATAAAATTCTGTTGCCTTGAGCTAGAAGATAACACATGAGTTGAAAATACAAAACCATTTTTAATCTTGGAAGCAGCACGGTATTTTCTCTGGAAGCCAGATACTTTCTCACAGAGCTGTTTGCTTGCCTTACAAGAAAATAAAGTCAGTCTGGTTCATGCAAGACTGACAGCATCATTTTTAAGCAGCTCAGTTGCTTCATCTGGGCTTTTACGAGATTTAGTTACTACATCCCAGTATCAATATCTTAGATTCACATTAGGATAAGTAATGTTTCCTTTTGGCTTATGTTTAGTCATTCCCCACTGAAGGGAATGACACATGCCTCCAAGGGACCAAATTACTTTTTGAGGGTAGTCCGGGATGCCATGGCCTCGGCAAGAGACCAGGTAAGAACTGTGTTGGTAACTGCTTTACAGTGGAAACAGAGTGTGAATGGAAGGCTGGGGTTTCTCACCTTGCTTCGAGTGCCTTCGTTCTGTGCTCTACTTGCACAAGACATCTCTCTAGTTAGGAAAGGCTCTGTAAATGCATTGCAGTCAATCCCTGATGGTTCAAGTATGTTTTTCAATATGCTTCTTAAATGCCTTTTCTAATTGAGGCCTTTTGCAGTTGCCACAGAAGTCTGCATAAGAGTTTCTATCAAGAGCAAGCCTTTAGCAAACATTGGGAGCGTAAAAGCAGCCTACAAATGTTTTATACAGCTTTCAAATACTCTGTTACCAAGTTGTTTGTACCACTTTTAAGCCTGTGTGAACTCATGAAGATTCAGAGACTTGCCTTAGGTCACAGACTAAGTTGTCATCAGAGTGAAGAAAATGTAGGCTTTGACGTAGAGGAGCTGTGTATCACAGAGGCTTTGCATGCTCACAGATTAATTCATATTCACAGGGATATAATGACTCTATTAAATGAGTACAAGAAACTTTTTTTATAAGATGAGGGCTTTCTGATGGAAAGGAATGAATCTAGCTCCCACTGAAATATATATCAAGCCTTAACCATTAGCTGATCCGGGAAGAAAATTGCATTTGTAGATCAGATGAAACAGGGTACTCTTAGATTGTATTGCCATCAAGAAATTATCACATGTGAAATAAAATAGCATTATGATAAATGTATTTGCTTCATTTCCTGTTAGCTTAGCAGTTTGTGTACAGAAGGGGAAGAACTGAGAAGTACAAGAATTTAAATCTTCCCAGTTGACCTTACTATATGTAAACATTTGAAATACTGCTTTTAAGATGCTGATTTCTCTTTAGCTTTACATTGAAAAATTTAGATTGAAATTACATTAAATCTTTACATTGGAAATGTCTGGTTTTATCCATTTTATGAATTAGAAAGAGATCATTTCTTCCCAGACTGAACTCTGTAAGAAAAAATTCAAAAGGTAGGCCAAATTCTTCTCCTTACAGGAAGTAGTCAGTACTTTTCATAGTCCACATTTTCACAAAGGAAAAAAAAAATTCCCTGCAAGTACCATGTAAGTACTTGCCCAGCATACTCTGTTACCTGTAGTGGCTTCTCAGTGTGGCCAGAACTATAGCTGAAGCTAAGTTTGTTTTGGAAAATGCCACACTGCCTTAACATCCTGCCTCCCAAAATGACACACACTGAAATTCTCTATTTTCAGGGCTGTCATTTCACCAGAAAAAAAACAACCCCTATTGAAAATGGAAGAAAGAATTGCCTCTAAATTGTCATTCCTCCAAATGGGTGCCAATCATGAAACTGGCTTTCTGTGGCTTGCTCTATTTTTGTGTCACCCCTCCAGCAGAATTCCTTTTTCTCTCTCTTTTGCCCATGAATGCTTCAGCAGCTATCCTGCAGTTACAGCATATATAATTACACAGG